AAAGGTCAAACAAAGCAGAGCCTCCCCATGGATATAAACATAAGTGGGGTCAAGACCATATTGACGGAGAAGCCATCATGAATGTCAATAAACAAATGTGGGTCTATGGTGTGCTTCAACAGCTTTATAAGGGTCAATAATAACAAACTCTTATCTATATCTGCTGACTGACAACATTCCAGCCCGGTACCATGTTACTCCTCAATATACAATGATCCGGAGCCTCTACCACATCTTTCTACTCCCTGGTGACAATGACTTCCAATCCTGTTACCACTTTAAATCAATAGATTTGTCTGCTAATCTGTTTGTTATATGTAAACACTGAGTCTAGCTGTTAGTCCTGCAAAAGCTGACCGGCATCATAATCAAAACACACAACAAAAGTCACTGCTTCATTGTATAGCAGACCTTTGTAATATACGTTAAGATAAAACAGAACAGTCACCTGGATTACATTAAAATACAATTGTTATTTGTTGTTGTGATGTGACAAGGAAAAATAGTGTACCGGAATATAAACCAAATATGGTTTTCTACCTGTGGATTCCCCAACAAATAATGATCCAGGTGAAAAATATATTTCGCTTAGCTTACTTCATGTCATGTTGTTAGGGTCTTAATTTTCATACCATCAAACTGCCATCGTATAATTATAATTCAAATCAGTTTGAACAAGTTCTAAATTAAAATAAACAAAATATACCCGTTATTTAATTTTCCTAAATAGACTCTAGTAAACTTTACCCCCCCCCCCCCCAGGAGTTTATATAAAAAGTGGAATAAGTTCTGAATTAAAATAAACAAAATATACCCGTTATTTATTTTCCCTAAATAGACTATAGTAAACTTTACCCCCTCCTCAGGAGGGAATGGGTGATGAAGAAGAGTATTTTATCCTATTATATCTTGGTGAGAGATGTCACAATTCACTGCAATATACCTGGTAGTTGTATTATGATTATTTTTGCATTTGATATGCAATATAATTGTCGATACATCACAATTTGACCAATTAAGCCAAACAGGCTGGTCTAACCAACTGAGCGACCTAAACAGCGACAGTATTTACCAACAATGAATTAAGGGGAGATTACTGTATACATAAAAAACTTGTGGAATTCTCTAGTATTTTGTCTGTACTACAAGTGCAGCGAGCCAAGGATCCTCAATACATTTTCCAACCACAATGAACTCAAGACACTTACCTTGGTTTTCCATGAACAAAACGGTATAAGTATGACAGCTCCTGATCCTACGCTGACCATGCAATGAATGCCTTATGTTGAGAAAACTTCAAAACCTGTTCTGTCAAACATCCTTATGAAGCTATCAGTATGATCAGGTGCCTGAAGAACACGAGATACCTCTGTAACATTCACGGTGGTTACTGCGTCTGTCTTGTGTCACCCAGCATTAGCAAAGTCTGACACATATGCCTAGAGTCATACAATCCCAACACTATCACCGACTAGGACTAATTCTTCAACATTTCAAAAAATAAACAACTATTTTTCTTATTTTCAATAACATTTTTTTTAGCTGCATGTTTTTTTCTTGTCTTCAGATAAAAGTTGTCCAGTTTTAACAGGAATAGTTTAATCTTAAATTTCAGTGTTTCATAATTTACATAACGCTAATTATCAGGCTTTCATCATGGGCTACCAGGTATGTAATATCACAGATGGACGTGTGATAGACATGATACACACTACTGATGTGTATCAAGATGTATCTTACATGTATATACCTGAGTGACCGTTAAGTTACTGACAGGTGTGGTCTGTCCAACATCTACCCTGACTTAGGGTTGACAGCTCCATGGGTCATTCACTGATCAATGATATATTAGATCCGACACTTAAACCTTAGGGTTTCCAGCCCAAGGTGTTGGTCATGTACATACCTGACTCGTATGCACATAAAATGTACAAGCAGGTAGCATACTGAAATCCACACTACCTGGAAATTACCTTTTACGTGTAGATAAATAAATCTTTTTCTTATAAAGGTTATGTAAGTAAATATCTGTATAGAAACCAGTGACTCATATCTATAATTAAATTACTACACACACAAGATAATGTACCTTCATTACTTTGGCTATATACATATATACCGGTACTAAGAAAACTTCCTTATAGGTAATAGCTACATTATATATATGTAAGGGATTTTCCCTTGGTACGTTCCTGTGTTTTGGAAATGGTACCTTCTTTCATTTGGGAACATCTGATGGTATTTCAATGCTGAAGCTTATACCAGGTTTTTCTGATGTCCTTGTGGTTGTTACGAGAATAAGGGAACACAGTTATGTTCTCAACAAAACAACACTTTTCACTCAGTAGATTTTGGATACCAAATTTTCCTAATTTCAAATAAGGGGAAAAATCTCTAAATGTCATCTGAAATGAGGTAGAATTTCATTCCCAAACAGACAGGAAAACCCTGTCCTTGTATAAAAGTGTTACATGTGACAGGACACGTTTGAATGTCCTTTATCTTAGTGGATATTTCCTATTGACACTGCAGTGATCCTAATTATACTGTAAGCCTACACAACTGGCTGGTGTTCAAGTCTCAAGGACATACCAGTTGACAAGTTTCTAAGTTTCTTAATTTTTTTTGCAATACAGAATGAATATATATTGCGATACATATCCCGATGTATTGTCAAAGGAAGGATGTGCTCAATTTTATAATAAGTTGTTGTCAGAATGTTATCAAACTTAATCATATATAATATGGATTACATAGATTTAAATTTTTTGTCAACCAACCATTGATTACAAAATTTTATAAATATTAAAAGCCTGCTTTATGCTTATTGGCATATCTGTTAGAATTTGTAGTAATTTGCAAAGTTAAAATACCTTGAGCAGAATAAGATACATAAAAATATGCTTTTGAAAAATATTGTGATACAGCAATATTTCATTTCTGTATTGTGGTACAATACGATATACCTGTTTTCTGTTATCATGACAGCCCTAATAATGATGGTGCTAAATAAATACCTATTTCAAATGCTTTAGAATTGTCAGAAGTGACTTATAAAAGCCTCTTGCTGGAATTTCCTGGAGTTGCAAATCGCCAAACACATTTTACATTTGCCATTGGTGCCGATGGCAACCAACAGCCAGAGTCCCGCAGCTACCTATATATAAAGGTAACACTTCAACTTGATGAAAAAATATTGTTTATGGCTTTGCTTTAATCTACATCATTCAATACAAGTTTTTGTGGATCCTGTATCCAGTCATGCAGTTATTATGTCAAATATCTGTTTCTTCCATTTTTGTATCTCTGTAAGGTTTCATTCATCATATTTACATATCCAAAAAAAACTTCTAAACGTTATTTCAATGGCATCCAAACATTCAGAAAATGAGTCCTTTTTATTGTAATGAAAATTACTGATTCCCTGATCGGACATGAAAAGGTATAAGGTCATGATCACTATATGGATTTTCTCTGGCTACTCCACCTTCCTCCAACATGAAGACCCCTCCACTCCAGTATGCAAACATCAAGGCCAACAAGAGAGATAAATATTAAGTTGAATAAACTTGTTTCATAATTATTGTAAAATTATGAAATAGCGTTTATAAATATTCTAACATTCATCACCTTCATAAGAAATAGTGTACAATGAATGTGTTTATGAAATCTTACCTAAATTGTGGCAGATTTTAATTGTACATAGGATTACGGTCGCCTTCTAGCTTCGAGCTAGAGGGAATTTCCCTTTAGCTCAGTGGTAGAGCGTACGACTATAAGGAACCTGGAGATTGATGGTTTGATCCCCAGTAGAAGCACACTATCCTTTCCTTTTACAAATGGTGTACGTGGCCCTCCCTATGGTGACAGGAAGTTAGAACCTGGCCATAGGTTGTGGTGTTCGAGGGCGAACACATTTCAAAAGGGGGGAGTAGTGTGGTAGATTTTAATTGTATATAGGAGTATGGCCACCTTCTAGCTTCGTGCTAGAATGAATTTCCAAACTATTCTCTTTCCTGTTACAATACCACGCAACCCTACTAATTAGATAATTAACACACTACTCCCCTCCCACAGACACACCCGAACAAACTCTTAATTTTTTTGCAATACCCTTCTTCCACCATGTACAGGGATTCATACCAAATGTCAAATATGCTAAACTGATATGGGTCACGTCACACATAAACAGTGTGCTGTGACCCATATCAGTATAGAATATGTGTATTAGACATTTGTAACGACCCCTGTGTTCAATGTATATCTTCTTCTTTAGCATACAGGGGCTTCATCCATAATGATGATTATGCCCTTGGGGTCCTATCACAGAGGCGCGAAAAAAGGGGTTATTTACAGTGATTAGTTGTTGTTTTTTTGTGCAAGGTATAGATGAAAAGATAAAAGCTGCGTATGTTTTAGCGTGTGATGAGGGCTTCAAGGGCTGCATGAGGTCTGTGTGCCTTGAAGTTCTCTAGTGTTGTGCATTGTACTGCTGCTATGGGAAGGAGATTCCATTGTGTTACTGTGTGTGTGAAAAGAATGAATATTTGTAGGTGTCCTTTGTAACAGATATGTTTTCGTATGCATGAGGGTGTGCATGTCTGGTTCGAGGGTCTACGGGTGTGAGTATATATGTTTGGTTTATAGCTACGATTTGGTGTACAATTTTGTAAAAAAGGATCATTCTTGTGTGAAAGCGCCGTGTTTGTAGTGTTGGCCATTGTAGTTCATTCAGACATTTGTTTATTTAGTGAACTACACACTCTGACGTCATCTTGAATGTGCCCCTCACGCTAAATTTTGATACCATTGTTCAAAGATCATCCATTGATATTCGTTATTAGGCCGTCGCACATGTATGAAACCGAAACCATTGCACAGTTGTAAACACTAAAGTACAATGCACATCATTTCACACGCACGCAGAACGTTCATGCAAGCAGCCTATACAGTGCATGCTTGTTAACGACATGTCTATCGGTGGTGAAGTCATCACTTACCTGGAATTACACAATTCGAATGCCAATTGTTGGTCAAATTCCGACTCGTGTGAACTCCTAAAGCTGGTGAACATCAATCACATCCCTGGCGCCGGGGGATAACTTCGACCACCTTCACACTCAAGAGGTTCAAACTTCACCTGCTTGCAGTTATATTCCAACTATTTACTCAATTCACAAATACTCCATCGAACAATGAGTTAATTATGGTTTACTTTGAGATATGCAACCTTCTGGACACACGCAAACGGCCTGAATATCACTTAGAATTCCACACCTTCCTTTCTTTTTGTTTATGTTTTCCCTTTGAACCGAAGTACTCACATTACACAAGTCCGCGTCAAAATCGAAAGCAAACTACATTTCGAGTGATACGGATATTTCAGGGACAAAATATATGAATGCTTTTAAAAACATTCGTTTAATCCTTAAGTGTTAATTGTGATAAAAAAACATGAATATAGAGAATCAATTTTATGGAGGATTAATGAGTGATTATCGCGGATGAATATATTTGACAAGTGCGCTAATCAGAGACGCAAGGGAAGTAACTCTGATTTATACTATTACAATACACAACTTTTTTTCTAATACACACCAGTATCACGACATCCTTTCTGTTGCGTTGGTTCAACGGAACACATTAGACAAGGACCTGTCAAGACAAAGACACTTAAAAATATAGGTTGATACCTTTCCTTGACTGTAGCATGTTGATTAATAAACATTTAAAACATATAACAAGAGGGCCTTAAATATTCGTACGGAAATTACAAACATAGAAAAATATAATGGTAAATAGCGATATTCACCATCTTTGGTTCTGCTTCTTAGCATGACAACATCCTTCCTTAAAAAAAAAATTCCTAACCCAATAATGCTTCATTATAAGCAATTTGGTTCAAAGATGATAAAATGTTCACGAGGAGTAGACTTTTAAAGACCTAGCTAGACATCTATATCCTTAATTTGTTAAGACTTTATCTGAAAGAACTATCTCCTTTAAACATTTTGCTGGTATATATCGCTGACTCGTCGAAAAAAAAATAAAAAAAAAATAACAGGAAATAATCGGTTTATTTCCACACCAATTATGACCCAGGGAAGAAGTGCCCAAGCATTGAGCCAGACCGCAATTAAGAACAGGCCCTATGGATAATGCACTTGCCTTTTACCAAGGTGGTTGGAGTTCCAATACCAAATCAGACGTGAAAATCAAGGTACGGGGTCACATGACAACAATGGTTTTCTCTGGTACTCAAGTTACCGGGCCAACAAGAGTGATTAATTATATAAGTTGCAAGTCTCAGTTTCTTTCAAAATTGTTGTATATAAATAATGTTCATAACTGTACCATTCATACACCTGGATATTTGAACAAAATATCCTCATTTCAATACAAATACTAATTTCCGACATAGCGAATAGTTTCATTTTCTGGCAGTAGTACAGGTTATCCATACACTCGATATGTTCTAGCAATTTCTGTCCAAAATGAAGAACATATCTGGTTTTCTATGTAAAGTATATTTTCAATCTATACGATGCCGACAGTTTAAACCTGTGTAACCCAAAAAAATTAATTACATTTTTTTTTATTTCTGAAGAAAGAGTTCTCGCACCAAAGATCACATGTGACATTATTTTTGTGAAACTGAGCCTTTTTGTTTTCCTCCAAAATTCTATTTTTTATAGCTATATTCACTGTCAATTTCTGGTAAGAATTATTCCCGCATTATTAAAGGAATTGTTGGAAATCATTATCCACACAATAACACAGACATGGAGTTATTATATAATGCCCTCCATCCATTCATCCCAGGCATTGAGACTTTAAGGGTGTACCACCTTACTGCACCCCTGCAGGTGGTGGATTGCGAAAAGAATACACCTGCTGTTACCCACTGTATGTATTGTAGGAGGCGACTAATGTTGAACCCCCTGCAGAATTGGGGATTTTCTTTTGTGTCCTCTATTTGGGGACACGAAAGCGACCAAAATAAATCTGCTGCGCCCATTGCAATATTTGGGATCTCTATCTTTTTTTTCTACTTCTAACTACTTTTATTTCCTAGCGCCTGGCTTGGCAACACCTCACTTTTGGCTTGAATGTTGAGTGTTCGCCCAGGTGAGGAGGGCAATGGGTTCTGTCCCCAGGCCGGGACATACCAACATCCTTAAAAATGGTAGTTGTTATTCCCTGCTTTACTAGCTGTGCTTGGTGCCTTCGGCATGGCATTTCAGTGAGATAGCACTAAAGGAGGCAAGCACACCAACATATCCTGTCTCCTGCATACACACACGCATGCACTACACACATGGAGGTATACATACCTAACTGTGACATTAAGACTTAATGATGTATGCTACCTTACCATGACATGGAGACTTAAGGATATTTGCTACCTTACTGTTACCATGGAGACTTAAGGGTGTATGCTACCTAACTGGGACATGGAGACTTAGGGGTGTATGCCACCTTACTGTGACATGGAGACTGAAGGGTGTATGCTACCTAACTGTGACAATGGAGAATGCAGGATGTATGCTACCTTACTGTGACATGGAGACTTATGGAGGCTTAATGATGTATACTACCTTACCATGACATGGAGACTTAAGGATATTTGCTACCTTACTGTTACCATGGAGACTTAAGGGTGTATGCTACCTTACTGTGACAATGGATACTTAAGGGTGTATGCTACCTTACTGTGACAATGGAGACTTAAGGGTGTATGCTACCTAACTGTGACAATGGAGAATGCAGGATGTATGCTACCTTACTGTTACATGGAGACTTATGGAGGCTTAATGATGTATACTGCCTTACCATGACATGGAGACTTAAGGGTGTATGCTACCTAACTGTGACAATGGAGAATGCAGGATGTATGCTACCTTACTGTGACATGGAGACTTAAGGGTGTATGTTACCTTACTGTGACATGGAGACTTAAGGATGTATACTACCTTACCATGACATGGAGACTTAAGGGTGTATGCTTCCTTACTGTGACATTGCGACTTAAGGATGTATGCTACCTTACCATGACATGGAGACTTAGGGATGTTTACTACCTTACTGTTACCATGGAGACTTAAGGGTGTATGCTACCTAACTGTGACATGGAGACTTAGGGGTGTATGCTACCTTACTGTGACAATGTAGACTTAAGGGTGTATGCTACCTAACTGTGACAATGGAGAATTCAGGATGTATGCTACCTTACTTTGACATAGAGACTTATGGAGGCTTAATGATGTATGCTACCTTACTGTGACATTGGATACTTAAGGGTGTATGCTACCTTACTGTGACAATGGAGACTTAAGGGTGTATGCTACCTAACTGTGACATGGAGACTTAGGGGTGTATGCTACCTTACTGTGACATGGAGACTTAAGGATGTGTACTACCTTACCATGACATGGAGACTTAAGGTTAAGGGTGTATGCTACCTAACTGTGACATGGAGGGGTGTATGCTACCTTACTGTGACATGGAGACCTAAGGATGTACTACTACCTTACTGTGACATGGAGACTTAAGGATGTATGCTACCTTACTGTGACATTGAGACCTACGGATGTATGCTACCTTACTGTGACATTGGATACTTAAGGGTGTATGCTACCTAACTGTGACATGGAGACTTAGGGGTGTATGCTACCTTACTGTGACATGGAGACTTAAGGATGTATACTACCTTACCATGACATGGAGACTTAAGGGTGTATGCTTCCTAACTGTGACATGGAGACCTAAGAATGTACTACTACCTTACGGTGACATGGAGACTTAAGGATGTATGCTACCTTACTGCGACATTGAGACTTAAGGGTGTATGCTACCTTACTGTGACATGGAGACTAAGGGGTATATGCTACCTTACTGTGACATGGAGACTTAAGGATGTATACTACCTTACCATGACATGGAGACTAAGGGGTGTATGCTACCTAACTCTGACATGGAGACTTAAGGGTGTATGCTACCTTACTGTGACATTGAGACTTAGGGGTGTATGCTACCTTACTGAGACATGGAGACTTAAGGATGTCTCCTCCCTTCCCCTGCCATGGAGACTAAGGGGTATATGTTACCTTACTGTGACATGGAGACTTAGGGGTGTATGCTACCTTACTCTGACATGGAGATTTAAGGATGTATGCTACCTTACTGTGACATGGAGACTTAAGGATGTATGCTACCTTACTGTGACATGGAGACTTAGGGGTGTATGCTACCTTACCATGACATGGAGACTTAAGGATGTTTGCTACCTTACTGTTACCATGGAGACTCAAGGATGTATACTACCTTTCTGTGACAATGGAGACTTAAGGGTGTATGCTGCCTTACTGTGACATGGAGACTTAAGGATGTATACTACCTTACCATGACATGGAAACTTAAGGGTGTATGCTCCCTTACAGTGACATTGAGACTTAAGGATGTATGCTAACTTACCATGACCTGGAGACTTAAGGATGTTTGCTACCTTACTGTTACCATGGAGACTCAAGGATGTATACTACCTTTCTGTGACAATGGAGACTTAAGGGTGTATGCTGCCTTACTGTGACATGGAGACTTAAGGATGTATGCTACCTTACTGTGACATGGAGACTTAGGGGTGGATGCTTCCTTACTCTGACATGGAGATTTAAGGATGTATGCTACCTTACTGTGACATGGAGACTTAAGGATGTATACTACCTTACCATGACATGGAGACTTAAGGGGGTATGCTACCTTACTGTGACATTGAGACTTAGGGATGTATACCACACTTAAGGATATTTGCTACCTTACTGTTACCATGGAGACTTAAGGGTGTATGCTACCTTACTGCGACATTGAGACTTAGGGATGTATACCACCTTACTGCGACATGGAGACTTATCGAGGCTTAAGGATGTATGCTACCTTACCGTGACATTGAGACTTAAGGATGTACACTACCTTACTGTGACAAGGAGACTGAAAGATAAACTATACCTTCAATGATGACTTAGCCAAAATGGTCAGCTGGTCGAATAATTGGCTGATGAAATTCAACGCCAAGAAGTGTTACACGATGAGGATGAAGAGATCCTGAACCAACATAACAACAGGAGCCGACTATAACATCAATGGTAGTACACTCCAAGTAGTAGAGCACAACCCATACCTTGGAGTGGAAATAGCCAACAACCTGGACTGGAAGCAACATATCAACCAGATGACCACAAAGGCCAACGAATTACTGTCTTTCCTGAGGCGCCACCTTGGAAAATGCAAACAGGAAGTGAGAGAGAAGGCCTACCTGACCCTAATCCGACCAAACCTTGAATATGGAGCTTCAGTCTGGGATCCACATAAGAAAAACCAACAGAAGTCAATAGAAAGAGTCCAGCGGTGAGCAGCTCGATTCACAACCAGCGATTACTCGCGTTACAGTAGTGTAACTGGGATGTTGATCGAGCTACACTGGCCACCCCTACAGAAGAGACGGAAGGAAAGTCGACTAACCAACCTCTACAAAGGCATCCACAACACCAACGCACTGATCATACCACCATATATCAGTAGTAACACCAGAAGTGGAAGGAGACAACATACCCACGGCTATATCAACATACGATGCAACACCGACACCTACAAATACAGCTTCTTTCCAAACACCATCATGGAATGGAATGGACTACCATCAGAGGTCGTCGAGCAGCTGACTGGAGGCATTCAAGACCTTGCTCCACAGTCATCTTGCAGAGTTAATGTGGATCCTGTAAATAGTTTTAACTTTTTAACCTGTTTTTAACCAACTTATGCGGAAGCCACGCCACACAAGTCTACCTGCAAGTTGATGCTGTTCAACGGCCCTTTGCAGTATCGCCGTAAAAGTAAATGTAAATGGAGTACTTGCCAAAAACCGTAAACGGTGATCACGCCGAGGAGCCTAGAATCTCTTTTCCAGAATGAAAGACATGTAGATATTTCCACCAAGGTCCCTAGGTTGCACTTAAACAATTCATCGAGGGAACTCGAATAGTACTGTATAAGTCTTTTGTTTTGTAAGGGAGAAAACTTCATTAGTGGCAAGTAGGAACTTTTGGATATTTTTTGTGTTATGAGTATTTAAACTGATCGCAGTGTGGAAATGTTCATGTTGGAAATGGTTCTGGAATCTGTTTATTCTTCAACATATATTAATCCACGAGCAGATATTTTCACGCTTATTTACTCAATGAGAAAAAACACTTACATTTCCACATAGCAATAATTTCCCCTTTTATAGTGATAGACTTTTGTTATCATCACAGAAATCACAACATTACCACAAGTTTTATTTACATGAACATTTATTACATTTATTACTGATGATTACAGATGAATGAAATGAGAAGAACGCCATCACGTTGACCGCCTTCGTAACATGTACCGTCCCTTCTGAAGCTGGGACACGTAGATTCGGATTTTAAAGTTATCCTCAATCTTTCGAACATAAATCTGAGGAAGAAAATAATAACAGACTTATTTCAGATGTTTGCTGATCTAAAGAATTAAGTAGAATTTTCAGCAATGCAGGCCTGTCATTTAATATCAAATATTGATTATCTATATATTAATTGTTAACATAAAAAATATTATAACTTGTATGTTAAGAAATATAATAATGTATAGTTAAACTTATCAAACCTTGTTTACAATTTGTGTTTGAAAGTAAGAAAGTGAAATTCATTTTGAAAAACTGTTGACACATTTCAATTTTGTGATAGATAAACATGGAGTAAATAATACTACCTCTACATAAGCATTGGTAAACAACATCATCTTAATGAACACTTTATACTCCGTAAGATCCTATACCATGAATACCCTATCAGATCCTATACCATGAACACCCTATCATGTGTAAGATCCTATACTCTGAACACCCTACCATGTGTAAGATCCTATACCCTGAACACCCTATCATGTGTAAGATCCTATACTCTGAACACCCTACCATGTGTAAGATCCTATACCCTGAACACCCTATTATATGTAAGATCCTATACCCTGAACACCCTATCATGTGTAAGATCCTATACCATGAACACCCTATCATATGTAAGATCCTATACCATGAACACCCTACCATGTGTAAGATCCTATACCATGAACACCCTATCATGTGTAAGATCCTATACTCTGAACACCCTACCATGTGTAAGATCCTATACCATGAACACCCTATCATGTGTAAGATCCTATACCCTGAACACCCTACCATGTGTAAGATCCTATACCCTGAACACCCTATTATATGTAAGATCCTATACCCTGAACACCCTATCATGTGTAAGATCCTTTACCCTGAATACCCTATCATGTGTAAGATCCTATACCATGAACACCCTATCATGTGTAATTACCTCTTGGGTACCAATGGCTGTGATTACACCATTGAAGTTTGCACTGTCTCGACATTCCACAAACACAGGCTGGTTTCGATGGAACCTGTAATAACAAAGACAATACATCAGATATAAAATACAGAAATGCTTCTCCTCAAATGTTTACCTATCCATAAATTAGAATTAAAATCAAATTATCCTTATATCCAAATTCAAGCTATGTTCAAAATGCAGGGGTCATAATTGACTCAATAGATATGTTTACTTAAATTTATCTTTTTACTTGGTCAAATGTAGTTCTTACACAAGGAAATTATTTTTTATGGAGATTTTCTTACATGTAATTAGTGTCGTAGATGAAAAAGTTAGTTTGACAAAATAGATACATGCAGTAAGGATACATAAAACAAGTACTGGTAAACTACAACATTTTGACTGGCTTGCAGTTTAGTTTGACCAATGAAATGCCAGGCATATATCCAAATTCTGACAGCTCACCAGCGTTTGTCGTAGTAGAGTCGTCCATCATCGATCCTGGCCTCCACAGTCGTCTCCAGAGGACTCTGCATTAGATTCGTCTTCTTGCTGATTGGTTTCCCACTGACTTTGTTAATGATGCGTAGGTCGTCATTAATATCATCGTCGCTCAGAAAGAAATTCAGCTGAGGTGAGAAAGTTAAGGTTAAATACTATCCTGGTATAGTAAAACATGTCTATAACGAGTCCAAAGGACCTCTGAAATAAGCCAGCCCTACAGTACCTAAGAAAATAAGTTCTCTATAGTAAGGTATATTTATTACAAACCCTACAAGAACTTATAAATAAGTTCTCTACAGTAGAACAAGTAAAGCATAAAATTACAGTAGAACAAGTTAAGTATACAACTTAGGGGAACTACAGGCATTAGTTCTCTACAGTACAACAAGTAAAGCATACAACTTAGGGGAACTACAGGCATTAGTTCTCTACAGTACAACAAGTAAAGCATACAACTTAGGGGAACTACAGGCATTAGTTCTCTACAGTACAACAAGTAAAGCATACAACTTAGGGGAACTACAGGCATTAGTTCTCTACAGTACAACAAGTAAAGCATACAACTTAGGGGAACTACAGGCATTAGTTCTCTACAGTACAACAAGTAAAGCATACAACTTAGGGGAACTACAGGCATTAGTTCTCTACAGTACAACAAGTAAAGCATACAACTTAGGGGAACTACAGGCATTAGTTCTCTACAGTACAACAAGTAAAGCATACAACTTAGGGGAACTACAGGCATTAGTTCTCTACAGTACAACAAGTAAAGCATACAACTTAGGGGAACTACAGGCATTAGTTCTCTACAGTACAACAAGTAAAGCATACAACTTAGGGGAACTACAGGCATTAGTTCTCTACAGTACAACAAGTAAAGCATACAACTTAGGGGAACTACAGGCATTAGTTCTCTACAGTACAACAAGTAAAGCATACAACTTAGGGGAACTACAGGCATTAGTTCTCTACAGTACAACAAGTAAAGCATACAACTTAGGGGAACTACAGGCATTAGTTCTCTACAGTACAACAAGTAAAGCATACAACTTAGGGGAACTACAGGCATTAGTTCTCTACAGTACAACAAGTAAAGCATACAACTTAGGGGAACTACAGGCATTAGTTCTCTACAGTACAACAAGTAAAGCATACAACTTAGGGGAACTACAGGCATTAGTTCTCTACAGTACAACAAGTAAAGCATACAACTTAGGGGAACTACAGGCATTAGTTCTCTACAGTACAACAAGTAAAGCATACAACTTAGGGGAACTACAGGCATTAGTTCTCTACAGTACAACAAGTAAAGCATACAACTTAGGGGAACTACAGGCATTAGTTCTCTACAGTACAACAAGTAAAGCATACAACTTAGGGGAACTACAGGCATTAGTTCTCTACAGTACAACAAGTAAAGCATACAACTTAGGGGAACTACAGGCATTAGTTCTCTACAGTACAACAAGTAAAGCATACAACTTAGGGGAACTACAGGCATTAGTTCTCTACAGTACAACAAGTAAAGCATACAACTTAGGGGAACTACAGGCATTAGTTCTCTACAGTACAACAAGTAAAGCATACAACTTAGGGGAACTACAGGCATTAGTTCTCTACAGTACAACAAGTAAAGCATACAACTTAGGGGAACTACAGGCATTAGTTCTCTACAGTACAACAAGTAAAGCATACAACTTAGGGGAACTACAGGCATTAGTTCTCTACAGTACAACAAGTAAAGCATACAACTTAGGGGAACTACAGGCATTAGTTCTCTACAGTACAACAAGTAAAGCATACAACTTAGGGGAACTACAGGCATTAGTTCTCTACAGTACAACAAGTAAAGCATACAACTTAGGGGAACTACAGGCATTAGTTCTCTACAGTACAACAAGTAAAGCATACAACTTAGGGGAACTACAGGCATTAGTTCTCTACAGTACAACAAGTAAAGCATACAACTTAGGGGAACTACAGGCATTAGTTCTCTACAGTACAACAAGTAAAGCATACAACTTAGGGGAACTACAGGCATTAGTTCTCTACAGTACAACAAGTAAAGCATACAACTTAGGGGAACTACAGGCATTAGTTCTCTACAGTACAACAAGTAAAGCATACAACTTAGGGGAACTACAGGCATTAGTTCTCTACAGTACAACAAGTAAAGCATACAACTTAGGGGAACTACAGGCATTAGTTCTCTACAGTACAACAAGTAAAGCATACAACTTAGGGGAACTACAGGCATTAGTTCTCTACAGTACAACAAGTAAAGCATACAACTTAGGGGAACTACAGGCATTAGTTCTCTACAGTACAACAAGTAAAGCATACAACTTAGGGGAACTACAGGCATTAGTTCTCTACAGTACAACAAGTAAAGCATACAACTTAGGGGAACTACAGGCATTAGTTCTCTACAGTACAACAAGTAAAGCATACAACTTAGGGGAACTACAGGCATTAGTTCTCTACAGTACAACAAGTAAAGCATACAACTTAGGGGAACTACAGGCATTAGTTCTCTACAGTACAACAAGTAAAGCATACAACTTAGGGGAACTACAGGCATTAGTTCTCTACAGTACAACAAGTAAAGCATACAACTTAGGGGAACTACAGGCATTAGTTCTCTACAGTACAACAAGTAAAGCATACAACTTAAGGGAACTACAGGCATTAGTTCTCTAAAGTACAACAAGTAAAACATACAACTTAGGGGAACTACAGGCATTAGTTCTCTAAAGTACAACAAGTAAAGCATACAACTTAGGGGAACTACAGGCATTAGTTCTCTACAGTACAACAAGTAAAGCATAAAACTCAGGGAAACTACAGGCATCAGTTCTCAGCAGTAACACAGCACCTTTTGTATAAATATTGTATAGTTGTACAATGTATTACCAGAGAAGAACACATTATACATCAGGAACTGTCCTGATGCCTTGGTTTAACAAGTATCCACATGTGTGTGACACACAAACTCATTAATGTACTACAAGTGTTTAACCAGTACTCCCATTAGTGTGTGTGACACACCAACTCATTTACGTACTACAAGTGTTGAACCAGTACCCCCATGTGTGTGTGTGACACACAAACTCATTAATATACTACAAGTGTTTAACCAGTACCTCCATTAGTGTGTGACACACAAACTCATTAATGTACTACAAGTGTTTAACTAGTACTCCCATTAGTGTGTGTGTGACACACCAACTCATTAATGTACTACAAGGATATCAGGTGAAGGTTTCCGTCTTTTCTCTGGCAGAGGAATGGGGTCATTGGGTCGCCGCCGTAGTTTCCTTGTGGTAATTGGTTTCACTTCCATGGAGTCTGACAACAGGAATCCTATTAGGAAAAAGGAGATGCATAGTTTATATCAGCCAAATCAAAAACAAACTTCTAAAAACAAGAGGCCCATAGGGCCTTAATATAAGCTCACCTGGTATTTTATTTTTCAAGTTGAAACCTGCTGAGTACCATACAGGTTTATCAAAGGAGTACAAGAAACAAAGTTGCAAGAAGAACTACATACAAATCTGTTTTGGTGGGAAAGACACCAAGAAAATGAGTTTCCATGTTATGTCCCAATTTTCCTCTACTTTCCCTATTGGGCCTCAAATGCACCTTTTTATACAAATTAAACAAATTGATTTTTTTCCCCTAAGCATGCTTCAGACCACATTTGGTTTAAATCCTTTCATTTGTACAGAAGGGAAAATAGAAAATATTTTTCTCTATTTCCCCTATTGGGCCCCGCCCCTATGCCCCCAGAGGGGCCACACCCTCGGTTTATACAAACTTGAGGCTCCTTTGTCCAAAGATGCTCTAGAACAAGTTTGGATAAAATCCCTTCAACGGTACAGAAGGAGAAGGATCTTTAATGTTTTCCTCTATTTCCCCTAATGGGCCCCACCCATCTGACCCTAGAAGGGGGCCCACACACCTCAGTTTATACAAAATTGATTCTTTTGTCCCTAATCATGCTTCAGACTGCATTTGGTTTAAATTCCTTCACTTGTATAGTAGGAGAGAAAAAAAAGCATCTATTTCCCCTATTGGGCCCCGCCCCTCTGCCCCCAGAGGGGCCACACCCTCAGTTTATACAAACTTGAGGCTCCTTAGTCCAAAGATGCTCTAGATCAAATTTGGTCAAAATCCTTCTATTGGTTGAGAAGAAGATGATTTTTAAAGATTTACCTATTTTCCCCCTATTTGGCCCCACCCCTCTGCGCCCAGGGGGACCATACCCTCCGTTTATACAAAACTGAGAACCCTTTGGCCAATGATGCTCCAGACCAAATTTGGTCAAAATCCTCTGAGCTGTCAGGACTAGTAGCGTTTTAAAGGAAAAAGTTGACGGACGCCGGACAACGGATGCCGGACGCTGCGCCATGGGATAAGCTCACTTGGTCCTTCGGGCCAGGTGAGCTAATAAAACCACCTTATTCAATATCTAGCATACAGATTTAAGACTAAAAAGTATTTGAAACTAGCACCTCTGATTCTAAACAAGGAAAATGAAGAAACTTTAGCAAACTGACTCTCTACAGCCATTAGGGGTAGAGCTGGCTCAAAATTTTCAAAGTATCACACTGTCAACTCAGGGTTATAATTCCAATCAAATTATCAACATGCAATATCCAAAATATCATTTGCCATTATAAACCATAATTAATTTTACCAAATGTTGGTCCAAAATGTGATTTTTAAGCGCCTTAAGATCCTTCCATCTATGAAGAGTATTTGATTTTACCATATTTGGGTCTTGAGAAGTCAGGGCTGAGATATGCATACCATCAAACTGCTATCCAATACTGATAATGCTAACTAAAATTGGATTACTTCCAATGAAAATTAAACAAATGTTGGTCCAAAATGTGATTCCCCTATATGAACTATAGTAAAGTTTACCCCGGGGCCCCTCCTCAGGGGGAAACGTGAGACCACAGGGTCATAAAATTCACACTTTTGGTAAAGCACCTTAAGACCCTTCCATATATGAAGAGTATTTGATTCTACCATATCTGGATCTTTAGAAGATTTTTGAAATTTCAGACAATTCAACCCTTTTTGGCCCGCCCATCAGGCTCCTGGGGGCTGGGGACCATATCATTTACACTTTTGGTTGACCTTTGGCCATGGAAGGTTTCTGCAAAATTTCATTGAAATTTGGTTCCGGAGTTTTGGAGAAGAAGTTGAAAATGTAAATTGTTCACAGACGCACGACTGACGATGACAGGCAAAAGGCGATTAGAATAGGTCACTTGAGACGTTGTCTTAGGTGACCTAAAAATTGAAGCAGAAAGGAAACTTACATCTGTACTTCTATTCTGTAATTATTGCCTTGTATAAATGCCTGTACTGTATTATTACTGATATCCGAGAAGGTGATCTTAACATCTGGCTAAATCTGATCGGTGTACAGAACTGTCACCCAGAGACATCATTTACCTAACTCACCTCCCATCAAGTCAAATCTTAACATCTGACTAAAACTGATCGGTGTACAGAACTGTCACCCAGAGACATCATTTACCCAACTCCCCTCCCATCAAGTCAAATCTTAACATCTGGCTAAATCTGATCGGTGTACAGAACTGTCCCCCAGAGACATCATTTACCTAACTCACCTCCCATCAAGTCAAATCTTAACATCTGACTAAAACTGATCGGTGTACAGAACTGTCACCCAGAGACATCATTTACCTAACTCATCTCCCATCAAGTCAAATCTTAACATCTGGCTAAATCTGATTGGTGTACAGAACTGTCACCCAGAGACATCATTTACCTAACTCCCCTCCCATCAAGTCAAATCTTAACATCTGACTAAATCTGATTGGTGTACAGAACTGTCACCCAGAGACATGATTTACCTAACTCCCCTCCCATCAAGTCAAATCTTAACATCTGGCTAAATCTGATCGGTGTACAGAACACCCAGAGACTTCATTTACCTAACTCACCTCCCATCAAGTCAATAGAGCTCCTCTCATTCTCAATATTTCTTTTCTTTTCCTCGTAGTCAGCAATCAGGTGTTCCTTCAAGTCAACTTTTTTGTCCTGCAAACAATCACAACTTTAATTTCTTAGTTCAACTTAGCACTTTTGGTTCATGGATTTTGCGTTTCACATCTTATATGCAGGGTATTACTTTACCAATCTATCTCTACAAACAAGAGGTCCAGAGATCCTGTATAGCTCATCTGGATATTTAAACAAATTTAAGAGTTTCATTTGTAACTGTTCGGATCCTTTTTATTAAGTTTTTTTTTCAATGTGATATACTCATCACTCCTTTGGGCCAAACAATTTTTTTTTTGTGTTTCTGGTAACCTTTATAACTACCTACCCTAATTAAGCAAAAAATAGAATTAGTGTTGCAATATTTTGTATTTTGGGCTTGGTCTCTTAGGTTCCAAAGGTGCTCTAATCTATATCTAATCCAGTTGGGGTCTCTGTCTGTATACATGTGTCCATGTTATAGGACCGAGATGCCAATCGTTTCCTACGACCAGGAAATTAAGTCTAAATAATAAAATATGAGGGGCTAGTCCCTGGAGCTAATCATGGTAGCATGCTGTTTCCTAATGTACATCAACCTTGTATATGGTTTGTTATATAATGAGGATCTCAACTGTTTTCAAGTTATGACCCACGGACTAAGAGAAACATCTGTACGTCTTATGATAGGGGATAGCGCAGTTACCTTTCACCAAGGCAACTGGCCATGGGGTTCAATTCCCCGATCCGATGTGAAAAGGTATTGGGTCATCTGCCTGACCCCAAGGGTTAAAGCTTATTTACCACATTAAGACCCCTGCACACTAACATCCAGTGATTTATATAAGATGAAATAATTTGTTACATAATTGTTGTAAAATTAATAAAAAAAATCTTTTTAAGATTTTTTCAATAGTGTTGCTTCTAGATTTCCATGAATTTGAGCGCTATACCTTAAAAGATAGATCAAGGTTCTTTCTGATATTTAAATAAAAACACTCCATTCATGGTACTATATGACCAAATATTTGGACCCTTTGTCCTTCAGTTTTCATGAAGGACTTGATAAAAAAAAATGTTAATGGATTGATATATAGGCACTTTGTTCTGGGTGAGCTAAACAACCACATGTTAATACCTTTTTGTACAGGGGTTTTGTGTTGTACAATATTTGTTTGGGATATTTTGAAACACAATAGCCTGTATAATGTGTTACAATCAATACAGTAATTACCTTAACATGAATAAATACAGTAACTATGAATAATGGAATCAATCAAAGTTACAATGACTAGTAAAACTGAATCAATCAAAATAAAACTTTCTATCTAAATATACATTAATTGTAGATCCAATATCACTCACTTCAAAATCATTTGCTGCAATTTTCTTCTCAATAATGTAGTCCTTATCAACAACCTCAAGCTGGAAAATATAATTTAGTATCAGTATATGATCAACAAATCTAGGGTGCGAGAGAGATATTAGCATTAAGGTATGGATTAAAGTATGTTTCTGGGGTATCTACACCACACAAGACAAAAGGAAACTTATTTCAGACAGCTTAGCTATAGAAAAATTTGTTTAGTTTAACAAAGACTTTTATTAACACCCAAGCTCAAGAAATTCACATCCTACTTACATGAAATGCTTTGACTAAACTCATTTCAAGAGCATGTTTAAGAAGCATAAAATTATTTCAAGTGATGATAATACCGGAAACTCTATGATTTAGAAAAGTTTGTGTAAAATCATGATGCCACAAAACACAACATCATTTATTATTTCTCCTGACATACCTCATATTCTCTCCAGATTTCATTGATTCTCATGCGCTCCTTAAACTGTTGGTCAATCTTACGCCGTTTCTTGATGTATTCTGGCAGTGTTCCTTCCTGAAGTTGTTGCAGCTGCTTCTTGAGGTGTGCTAGCTTGTCCTGGTACATCCTGTTTATATAGTAGAATTGGTTGAGTTTCATTACTGTTGATTGTGTAAAGTTGGAATGTCTATAAAAAAGCCACTACTAATCTGTAAGTCCCAAAATCCCTGGGGATAAGTTCCTTATATTTTATTTAAAAACATCCTATCTAGTAGTTACAAAGCCATTTTACAATTCAGCCAATTTTAGCTAGAAACAAAGATGGCTGCATTAACAAGACTCCCCAGTGAATGTTTTCTGTAAACATTTGTACTTAAGGTGGCTCCACACATCGTCATCAGCGTCCATTTTCGTGACTTACTTCCAGAAAAAGTACAGCTCGGACTCAATTATCTTGATCGAAATGTGCATGTACACCGTGTCGTCATTTCCGTATTGCGTATCGGGCATTCAATATCCTAGTGCAAATTATAATAACACCTGGGCCGTTTGCGTTTAAACAGTCAAACCGATCGGACCACTGTTGTTCGTTTATTAAATAAGGAAGGACCTAGTTATCTGATGCTGCTTTCAGGTGAGCCTTGAGAAAGCCTTCCAAGGCTTGTATACACATTTGCAGGTCCGCCAGGATTTATACCCGAAATTGTTACATTTATAAACGGTCAAACTGGTTGTTCCGCATAAACGAACAGGCCCCTGGTAAACAGTAGAACACGTGCGTGCCGATGATATGTCAACACTGATATCGAGGTTTTACCGGGAAATGTATAATCACACGTACTTCAGGAATAAAGCTTTCCAATTCATTGACATAACCAGACTCACGGGAAGACAGTGACATGAGACCAGACGACCTCAAGAAGGTCATATAGGAAACACATGGAATGCGGACGTACCAACATCATATGTGCATATCACGTGCTTACACAAGTTCATAAGCTGAGGGAGTTTCGCTCTGATGTTCAAATCGTGTTTACAAATGTAGTCTACTTACTCTGTGAAAATAATGTTTTGTAAAATATCAAGATACCTATGAAATGCATGTGTGAGTGCACGTGAGAACAGCATACCATGCGATAGCCTCTGGTCACATATGTACCTGACATGTAATTATAAATATACCGTGAGTTAGCGGGACTGTGGATGATGTCCAAAGTGTACATGACTGAGAGTAATTTGGTTCCATCAAAGAACAATAAATTGATAATTTTGATATCATGTTTTTGATTTATTTCCATTATTTTTGTTATATGTAAACAGAGACAACTGTTATTGTGTAAATGTCATCCCTCTGTAAAAAGTTCCGATTTTTTTCAAGGAAGATAACTCTCACCCGGATCAAAGTGATTGTAAAATGTAAAATGAATTAATTATAAAGCCATTGTATATATTTTGTTCAATTTCCCACTCTATATGTATAGATCTTTGTGTCCTGTTTGCTTTTAGCTTGTAGATAATCACTTTAATCCGTTCAAATTCAATAAAAAACACTTTGTGTAACATGTGTTACATATTTTGCGATAAATAAAAATTTTGTAGGGTTAATTATAAATGCTTCTTTTCATTTTTTTATTGTTGTTATTGTTCCGAACAATGCCACACACAAAAATATCCCGGAAAATATTAAAAGTGGCGAAAATTCAATTTTTTGGTATTTTTTCCAAAAAAGTCCCCAAACTATCCGAATGTTTAGAATTTCATAAAATTAACTCTACATAGTTGCATAACCATTATATGAAAGTTTCAACGAATTTTGCTGGTTAATTGCGAAAGTGTGGAGCCACCTTAATATCAACACTATAGAGCTAAGGAGGTCTGTCTTGCCTGACTAACCATTGTGCAGCTGATCAGAGCATAACATAAAATCTTTAAAAATTAGACACAGTTCAAAAATTTCATAAGTAACTGTTGGGATCCTTTTAATTAATATTATATGTACTCACTCCTTTGGGCAAAGCAAAAAAGATTTTGTGTTTCTGGTAACCTTTATAAGTATTTACCTTATTTTTTTGGTGATATCCTGAACGTTTTTAGGTAATATTCAAAGCAGCACCGTTAAAGTTTAGATCACCCTCCTACATACAAACCACATTAAATCATCATTAACAATCTAATTTTAACCATGTCCACCTACCCTAATTCTTTCAAAAATGTTACAGGAAACAGATTTACTTGTATATATTTTCTTGGCCTAAAATAGAGTTTCACTTACTGTTCCTTGATTTCTGTATATTCTGTCTGCTGCTTGGCCATATCTGTCTCACTGGCATCTTCTGTGTCTGAAAAGTCAAACATAAACATTACAAAACCGTTGTACATATGCTTTATAGATTCAGATTCAGATTGTTTATTACAATCCTGACTTGTGTGTGTAACAAGAGGTCAAAAATTCAAAACAACAAACATGGCAGACAGGGTTATACAGTTACTAAGTTCATTGTAACATATGAATAATTATAGTAAATACGCATTAAAGTAACTCACTCAAGAATAATAATGATTAATTGCAAAGTATAAGCATATAAATATATTTAAGAATAAACTGCAATTATAGAAAGTACAATAAAGAGTATGACAGTAATCAGTCTGAAATACAAAGGTTTTCTACATTTTTAAGAAAGTAGCTCATTCTGGATAATAAGGGTCGATTACAAATTTCAAACATACCTCTCATTTTAGTTAAACTTGGATTTATATAAAAGTAATGTGCGATGTATTTATGTTTATAATTAGTTATCGTAACATTATTACATTGAAATAGATAGTGGTATTCATCCCCAATACCATTATTACATAGCAAACAAGTACGATTATTACGTGGTATACCAACCCATCTACCAGTTTCAATGGGTAATTTGAAGTTCGACATTCAAAATTTGCTGATAATTATAACTTTGCTGGAATTAAGCTTAACTAGATATGATTCAAAATTAAACAGGTTTTTATATAGTAGAACTGTGCAAATGACCAAGAGTCAATAGTAGAGAACCAATTTTTAATAAATTGATCACATAAACGTTTTTTAAGCAAATTTTGTGTTTTGGTATATCCTAATTTTTAGTATTAGGCGGTAGAATGCACTAGATAGCTTATCTCCTCCTGTTATTAATTTATACCAAAACATTAGCATTCTAACTTTAATTTCTATTTCTAATGGAAATTTGCCCAGTTCGCCATACACCATAAAATTTGGTGTACTACTTCGAACATGTAAAATTTTCTTACAAAATTGCAGATAAATTTTTTCAATGATACTTACATTTTCAAAACCCCAGATTTCACATGCATAGAGTAAAATTGGAGAGACTAGCATTTCAAACAATTTAAGTTGTAATTCAATAGATAAAGGAATATTTCTTATTTTGGTATACACTGCAATCAATGCTTTCTTTGCCTGGTTAGCTAACTGTTTCTTTGTTTTAACCAATGATCCATTATAATTTTACAATATTCCAAGATCAGGGTAAGAATCATCACATTAAATAGTGTAAAATTAAAACGCTGTCTGCTTTTCTGTTTTTATATATTGAAAGGGGG